TTCACCTTTTGCTTCTGTAACTATTAAACAAGTTGGACACGTTCAAGGTCTTCTGCTCTGTGATAACATAAGCCGGGTTTGAAGTAAATATTAGTGTTTCGGTAGTSGCTTGAACTCGAGTGTCTGTTTCCTTGCCTTCGTTGAAAGGGTGAGATACACCGTGTCATAGTTTCTTATTTCRGCAACATATAATGAAAAGCTGTGATTAAAAAAACAACACTGCAGTCCTGCCTGTTGCTCAGCTGGAGCGATGTTGAATTTAACTTACAAAACAGCAGYACTGTTTACAAGGGTAACATTGTTCTTGTGACTGCTTCTCAAAAAGGCAATTTAAATACAGGATTAGAATATATTTAAGCTAAGTATAAGATCACGTCTAGGTAAGTGCATCTAGGGTTGGGCTTTTCCGACTAAGCTACTAATATGGAGCGAAATACGCTGAGACATAAATAGTGGGAGTCATTCTCCTGTTATGGTTTGCACAGGAGGAAGACAGGAGTAATTGCTTATAGGAGAGAAATAYATCTGTGTTGTCTTAGGAGTCCCAAAATAAACATTTGAGGTGTTCTCTCTGATTAGACAGGCTTTTCCCCCTCCCTCTTCTGCCAACTTTAATGAAAATGTTAATTACTAAAGAATGGATTAAAACTACTGCCTCTAGGCAGTTTTTAATTTTATCATTTTACACGTTACTTTTTTATTCATGAGGGAGTTAGAGATATATTTGATAAAGTGAACGTTTCCTTCATGAAATCTGCACTGCTAATGGTGGCTGTGGACGGTGTTGCTTAGATCTGTTTTGTTTCTTAGCCTGTCTAGATGCAATAGAAAAAGTTTGTGCATTTTGGATATACTCATTCTTTCTCCTACTCAATAAAAATGAAATGTTTTGAATTTTAAAGGATATATACATTTCTCTTAGTAAACTTCTTTTTTTTCCCTCTATGAAAAAATTAACCAGCATCAGGAAAAGTCTTTGCAGAACAGCACTTGTTTCATTATTAGGACTGAACTGAGAAGCAGAAGTATGAAGTAGTAATGTTGTTGTGGTTTGTACATCTCTGTATCTGAACATGCTGCTGTAATGAGGGCAGAACTTTGTTTATGTACAGCTTGCTAAAAAGATGTTAGATGATAAAAGTGTTTTTCTAASATATGTTTTGAATAGGTGAGTTAAAATCATTCACCTGTATTCATGGAACTGTCTGCTTGAGGGAATCTGTGGTGGGTGTTGTTTTTTTCCCCCTCAGTTTTAGTAAGAGTTCAGATAAAGCAAGCCAGGGTGATAAAAGTGATTTTTAATAAAGTTAACTCATTATGCTTTCTCAGTGTTCCACAAATTTTGTTCTAGACCTAACAGAATTATATGTCTTTTAAGATTATTGATCTCCAAATGGCATTTTGAACTGCCATTTTCAATGCTGGGCAATGCTAAATGAAGATTTACCTCTCTTTTTATTATTTTTTTTTTAACCTGCTTCTTAATTTCTTAGTAACTCTTGTCTAGATGAAGCATTAGGAGATGATATTTAAGTCCTTTCTGTTCATTAAAAGCACTTTTATTTATTTTTTAACATTGAATTTAATTCCTTCAATGAAATAACTCACCTGTATACCTTTTGAGGAAATACTGTTTTAATTGAAGCTAAATGATGACATCTCGTGGATAACTACTGGGTTGAACTGCTGATTCAGTTGTACTTTTAAACACTGATATCAGAATTACTCTATACACCCTGGGGACTCTCACATCCTGGTTTCATTCCAGATCCAGAGGTTGAGAACACACTCATGTGAATACAGTGAGTGACTAACCAGTTTCAGTATAATGAAAACATTGTTTGCATTCAGTTGAAGGTATCCTCCTGAGGGAGTTCAGTAGGTGTTGTGTGTCAGATTTGTTCATTTAGTGGGGCTAGGGATCTTCTGTCTTTTTAGGGCGTTGGAGTAAAGAAAATAGAAATTATTATTATTTTTGTTCTGTTACTAGCTATGGCTTAAATGGAGAACAATACCAGGAACAGAATCTTTGGATTGAAGAGAGTTGCCATTGGATTAAGAGGAGCATTACTTTAAGTCTCTTTTGTAGTCTAGTACGAGATGGCTTTGGGTTTATTTGTTGGCATAGGTTGTAACTTGCTGTCTGTGGCAAAGGCCCATTTTTAGCACATTTAAAACTACTTGAGGAACTGTACCACCTCAGCTGATTTTATTCGACCCTTAGTATGGCTTGAAATTGTTACTACTGTACTGCCATGTGTGTGAATTTCACAAGGCCAGTTTTCAGTTTTCTAAGGTGACTGTGACAAACAGCAAATATTTTATGAATGAAATCATATTTGTGTTTTGTCGAGGCGTTTCTAGTTATACATCAAATGAGCTGTTGTTTTAATTCTTTCTGAGAAATGGATTGAGGAGAAAGTGAGAAATTCTGCAATGATAGTTCTGTTACTGGGATAGAAGGCAATTTGTTGGTTTTGGCCTTAGGCTGTTTGTACCTCACTGTCGGAGATGGAACTAGATTTTACACATAAAATGTAAATAAATATTGTGCATAAAACAGTTGATCAGTCTTTAGGCTTCAGTTTTTATGGTAAAGTARGGAAAAAATCACTCAGAACACCCAGTGTAATTGTTCTTCTGGTAGAGATAGAAGAGTGGTTGAATTCTGAGTTACAGGCTCTTCTGCAAAAACAGCCTATTGAAGCTCAGTTTCTCTTGCATAGTTACAGCCTGTTTTCTTCAGTTGTAACTAAGCTGTAATCACGAACGTTCTGGGTAGAGCTGAGAAAAGTGACTCCTATGGTTCTCCTAGCTCCAAGAAAAGAAGGGAAGGAAAAAATACTAAGATTTTTCTTTTTCTGTGCAAAAGATAATTTAAGACTTTTGAAAATCCATGGTCCTCTCCAGTAGAATTCTTCTTGTCTTGACTTGCAAATTAGAATTAAACTTAATGTCCAGGTGATCATGCCTGGCAGGGAACAGATGCACCATTACAAGTTTCAGTGACTGCTTGGTCTGATGACATACATGAGATTGTTGTTTCTTTGGCTACCAGAAATATGTTAATTTTTATTCAGTGTCTGTCATTAGAAGAACAATCTMATCCTTCTGGGAGGTGACTGGTGTAACTTTTCTGACATCTCTAAGTTTGTAGTTTTGGCTACCCATGATATATAAGAATCTGGGTTTTCAGGCTGTTTCAGAGAAAACTGGAAGTCTGAAGTGAAAGCACTCAACTGTAGTATTCTTGGAAGAACACTACAAAGACCAGTAGTATTCCAAGAAGGCTTGTGGTGTTCATCACACTGCCTTGTGGGACTTGTTTACTACYCTGCAAGTATGCTTGCTTTATGAGGCATTACATGCCATATACATTCATACCCTATCATCTCACATATTCGAAGTAAGGATAGTTGTGTTATGATCTGTCTTCAACAGTTCCTGTGGCAGTAGCCTGTGAAGCTTTCCAACGAGTAGGCAATGTGTATGTGAATGAGAACTACGCTTGTATACAAGCTAGAGGACTAATTTTGAAATCTGATTACAATATTGCAAAGTATTATGTTTATAAGCGAGATCTTTTCCTGTTGTTGGATCACACAGGTGCTTCTGAAGCAGCATGTGGCCGTGGGTGTTGGTAGTTAGCTTGTTTTGTTTCCGATGGTAAACTTACATCAGGCTGTTGAAGGTGACACATCAGGCTGTAAGAAGACTTACGTTTGCATGATCCTGTGGCAACTGGAGACCTGTAGATGGAATTTGGATGGAAAAGCAGTTTAAGCTGAGATGAGATGTCAGACACCTAAGCATCAAGAGAGAAAGARGGATGATTATCCTCACTGTGCTCTGTGGCCAGAATGGTTCTTGGTGGATTTTGTCATCACACTTTCCTCTGAGAAAGTGTTATTGACAAAGGGTTCTTCTTTTCCTTCTCTACTCCTCAGCAGAGAAAAATGTCACTTTGTCAGGGCAGCTGTATCTTTATCAAATTTGTTTCAGATGTATATATATTACATTTTTGTTATTATTTTTCTACCTTGTATTAGTAATGTTTTAATATTAGTATATTGTTTTGCCCAATATCTGATGAAACTATGTTTCARTGTGGGATATTTCTTTTAAAGCAAAGAGTAAAAATAGCCTTGTCATTAAAATGGATAATATCAGCATGATCACAATTCTCACTTGCAAGGCAGGAAACCTYGTCTAATTGTAGTTTCTGTCAGAGGCTCGGAAGTGCTGTTACCAGGCAGTGTGGGGAGCAGATCAGAGTTGATTGCTAGATTTATAAGATTCTAGAAGTCCGTAGTGCTCTGCAAGCCAGTAGAAGTGTATTTTGCCTCCTAAAAGTCCTGACCTTTGTGCACCTCTTATACTGTTAATAGGGCTTGCAGAGGCCCATTATTCGTGTTTTCTCTATGGCTGGGAAGTTGTAGTGATCTACAGAGAATGTCATTACCATAGTATCCTGCAAACGTGACAGCATATTTTAATGGTTCTCTATCCAATGTATATTTGTCACTGTAGTGAGCRCTTCTGATATTACTTTGAAGGGAGGAATTTCATCTCCTCAAAACAAACTCCAGAATTCATGCTTGTTGTTTCCTTGGATAAATGTACTTTTTTTTTTTTTTTTTAAATCTGGTTAGGCTCTAGAGTTACCATAATTTCCTTTGTAACATGCTTATTTAAAATCATTTAGGAAAATCAAATAAACTATTGTGCAGAAATTTGTTTATAGAAAACACCTGTTTTGTTAAATGCTTCCGATGAAATTACTTTACCTCTCCTGTAAATAAGTATTATTTTCCATGAGTGTTTCTGTGTTCTTTTTATATCAGATTGTAACTGATACCTCTCTTTCTTCCCATTTCAGACTAGAAGATGAATAACCTTTCCTTTAGTGAACTATGTTGCCTGTTCTGTTGTCCACCATGCCCAGGGAAAATTGCTTCCAAGCTGGCATTTTTACCTCCGGACCCCACATACACACTGATGTGTGATGAGAGTGGTAGTCGCTGGACTTTACATCTCTCAGAGCGAGCAGACTGGCAGTATTCTTCCAGAGAAAAAGATGCCATTGAGTGCTTCATGACTAGAACAAGTAAAGGTAACAGGATTGCCTGTATGTTTGTGCGCTGCTCGCCTAACGCCAAGTATACTTTGCTCTTCTCGCATGGAAATGCTGTTGACCTAGGTCAGATGAGCAGCTTTTACATAGGACTGGGTTCACGGATTAATTGCAACATATTCTCATATGATTATTCTGGATATGGTGCAAGTTCTGGGAAGCCAACAGAGAAGAATCTGTATGCTGACATTGATGCTGCTTGGGTGGCTCTTAGGACAAGGTAAGATTTTGTTKGCAATTTTTATTTTTCAACATGCTTTCCAAATAGTTATCCTTAATCTGCAGTAGAATAGAAACGTAGAATAGAATATGCCGTATTTTAGGGCTAATGGATACCATGTAAAGGCTGGTCAGTGGTGTCTTACATGGAAGAAATTGTAAATACTGAACAGGATGAGCATRTATTGTTGATGTGCTAGAGCAGTTGAAATGGGATGAAATATAATAATCTATATTTCTGATGCGAATGAATGATTAGAAGATTATTCTTGTAATCGTAGTTTGGGATCTCTTCATTTGGAGATATAGGAAAATAGTACAAAATGTAATACATGATTCTCCAATAATTCAGCCACCAGTGTCATGAAGGGGAGAGAAGAAGRAGAATTGTTCTTCAGGTACAAACCTCATGAACTTCTTTGTATGGATAGCRGAAAGGCCGTTACAAGGCCATAGGTCTAGTTTTCTCTTTAGTATTCTTGTCACCTTTGTTTCAGAATGAAGACTAGCAGCTCTAGCCTCTTGAAAATATCTCTCCTTACAAAGCTCAAAGAGTTTTTAACAAAATGAAGTGTGTTATCAGTTAYGTTTGGTGTGCATAAATACATTGTGATGGAAACAAGAATCTGAATCAGTACTGCTAATTCAGATTAATTAAAATGGGACAAGAAAAAAAAATTCAGACTGGAAAGCTGTTTCTAGATGTCTGTGTTCTAGATTTGGTTTTGGAGATATTAAATGGTAAGTTAAAAGGTTGTGTTGACATTCTCTGCTGCAGCTGGGAAATCTAGGTGCTATATACAGAGCACTGAATGTGCACTTCTTTACTATGGTTTCTTCCATTTGAAAAAAAGGCTCACTTCATCCCCATGAGTACTAAACTACAGGAGGATTCTTTTTGAGAATTGACTTGGTGTTGTACTATTATGCAGCTCATTATGCTTAGAGCATTACAACTGGAGTATACTGCTTAATAATATCAGGGACATGACTTAGAGTAGGGATGTACATAGAGATTCTATAAATCCTAGGCCTAGAAGCTGGCAATTAAGAACCTGATGCATGTGATTCTAACTCCTTCCATATTCCTTGGGGGGGATATTCCTTTTCAGTGTTTTAAATAAACATATTTCCATTCATTTTTCTTATGTTACAAGRGCGTGACAGTTTCCTTTGTAGGAATATATCTTCATATATTTAAACTGGGGAAATGTTTGTATTTGTAGACCTCATACAAGCAGAGGGGGCTAGTATATAACTTGCATGTTATTTTGAAGCATTTATTCTCTGCAGTTAAGAGTAGTTCAGGGCACTTTTCTTGATGCAGTTGAAGGCAGCTGTAGCCAAGCATCCTCTCTGCTGGCCACTATCTAGAACGGGTGCATTGGTGACTGGCCTGGGCTTGGCAGGTGATCTGCAAGACAGCCATTTGGCGAAGTAGATGGTAATACTGACCAAAACCATGTGCTTTGTGGCCAATGCAGAAGACAGTCTGAATTGTATAAACATACCAGCGGAAAAAAAAAGCAAACAAGGTGATGAAACTTAATCASTGGCTCAAATCAGTTTGTAGGCTCTGTTACATGAACTAATTGGTATGTCCCTTCCTCCTCTGCCCTTGTCCTGYGCCCACTGAGAATTTCTGACTGAGAATTTAAAAAGTAACATGGCTGTAAGTTGCATCTTCTCCTCCATACCTGGACAACTATAGGGTAACTTCCCCAATTCAGTAAGCCTTTTGAGCTCTATAGTATGCTGTCTGAATATACCCTTAACATATCAAATTTAAGTATGCTCTCTAAAGGGCCCATGTTGAGGGGGTACTGAATATATTTTCCGTCTATTTGTTTTTCCCTCTCCAATTCAAAATGACCTCAAATACATTTGTTGCCCGCATTTATTTTTAGTGTCAAAATCTCTTTTACAAGTACACTATCCTGTAGTGTAAGTAGCACTTGGGTTGATCTGCTCAATTTGTTGATTTCTCAAACCTGAAACATGTCTATTTTTGTTTGTCAGTTCTGTAGCTGAATGGAGGCGGGGACAAGATGACCACGTGGTCAACTTTGGAAGTACTGGTTCATGAATCTGCACCACAGTTTAGTTTACCTTACCAGTCCATGGTGTTCTGTGGATCTCTGTCATGTTGCACAGCTGTCTTTAACTACATGATGAATATCATGACCAGTATTTAGCCTTTGAGCATTTGCTGCGGCATTGATTCACTTTTCTAGCATAGCCAGTTCTGTGAGTGTTCCTCTGGCACTATCTTTAATGTTTATAATATCAGTGTTCTGCAAAAACAAATTAATTCTATGAATAGTTTGTAAGATAGGTGTTAATATAGCTGTAATTCCTTTGAAATTTGYGTTGATGGCATGAGAGGAGAGAGGGCTCCTAACCTTTCAAACCATTCCTTCTGGGTTATGTGATGAGACAAAGAATGGAGTRGAGAAATTGCCTCTGTGGGAGGCTGATCACAGTCACTGACAGCTAACTCCATTCCCTGTTGTGACAAATGGGATTGTAGGACCTAGCATTAGGATATGTTTYTGAGGCAACTGAAATAGTCAGACAGACTTAATTCTTCTCAGTCAACACAGCTGCTTGGGGTGGAGACATATTAAGAGTACATATTAAGGGTAAGACATATTAAGTGGTACTTTGCAAGGATGATCTTGAGAGCCTTCTGGAAATTGATGCAATTTTCCAGCGGGGACCCAAAATGGAATAGTCTGTGAACTAAGAATAATATTCAGTGATAGTGATAGTCTACACTAACTTCACTATCTCCTTAAATTCCATCTTGAATATTATTCTTAGTTCTGTTTCTTCACTGATGTTAAACTGTTTTTTTAAGATGATTGAAATAAGGTATGTGAATATTGTGTACATGTGTGTAGAAAACTCATTTGTCAGCCAAATCCATTCCTAAATCCAGAATGTATAGAGACAATATATTAGTATATTCTATTCACAACCTTGAGCGCCAAGTATGCTTGCACTTTAGATCTCTCCTACCTTTCCCCCTGCCATGGGGCTATATGAAAGCTGCAAGTGAGAACATTCTTTTTCTGGCTGTCATAGCTACAAAGTGTTGAAATGCAAGTAGTCATTTGGGGATACGCCTATCTTTTGCTGCCCTATTTTTTGAAGGCCTTTGATGACACCCCAGCAGGATGGAGAGATTCTGCCAGCCTCAGGCAAATCCATGGTAAGAGGTGCTCATTCAGAAACCTGAAAGCTTCCTCCAGTTGCCTCATGACCRGATTTAACTTTGAGAAGCCAACCAGCCTTGTCATTGCTGCTTACTGAGGAGTGTTTWATATTGGCAAAATTAGAGGGTAAATCTTGCCATCAGGGTGATCTGTTGAAGTGGACAGAATATACATAATACAAACCACAACACAAACCAAATATAACAATGACATGGCTATTTTGTGGTTGGCTGAGATGTTCTTTTGAGAATTAATGAATTACTTTTTTTGCTAGAAACAGGAAGAACTTGACCTTTTATTAAAAGGCCTTAGTAAAAGTAAACTCAGTTTATCATAACACACGCTTTGCCAGTAAGATGGAAGTACTAGTAACACCAAAGTTTAGAAAAGGCCAAACCACTGAGGGAGGTGATGAAGGAGGTAGTTTATTGCATGCTTGGTCTATGGGTTTGCCCTTCCTGAAACCTGAGTTTCCTTTTCTTTCTAGCAATGTTGTGTATTGCATTGCACTATGGAAATACACATCTGAGTTTAGGAAGGAGAAGCATGTTCACATTTTATTCATGGAGTGGCATGTTGATAGTTAAATGTGCAGAACGTGTTTGTGCCTTTTATGTCTTGCCAATTTGCTTCTGTAATTTATGCTAAGTGTGATGACAAAAGATCCTGAAACATGCATTTGAACTTCCTCAGGATGTTCCCCTGTGTTCCAGGTGCCCCAAGCCTTGCTGGCACTCACTTTGTTTGTGTGTTGCAAGAGCTTTACAAGTGATAGTCTTTCTGGAGTGTCTCATCCACCTCTTCTGTGGTGGAGCCTGAGAGATGCTGCTGAAAATGCACCTTTTTAAGGACACTGCACTGATATTTTATTTTTGTGATGGAAGCAGGTTTGCTGGATTTATAGAAGTAGTTCAGAGAAGAGTTGGGGGGAAAAGTAACTTCACCAGTTATCTCCTTGCTGTAAAGATATAGGTTATATATAGATTAAAGGTGTATATGTAGGTTAAACTCTAGAAAACACTTGTTAAAACTAGGCATAAATTTGTAGGCTGTGTGTCAATTGGAATGAATATGAAAAAAGAGGACTGTCAGYGTATTTAGAAAAGCCCAGAAAGGATCTCTTCTGACAGAGGTAAAAATATAAAAGAAACAATACAACGGTTTCTGCTAGAACATTTTATCCACAAAACCAAGAAGAATATTTTGTGCAATTGAACAATTTTTCCCCCCATTCCGTCCAGATTTGAAAACAGCAGGCAGTATCATTCAGGATTGTCTTCACTACAAGACTCCATCTATGCCTGGGTTAAAACCATCTGTATCTGGTCAACATATATATGGTTGCAGTAGAAGAGTGTTACTGCAAGAGCAAAATCTAATTCCTGCTGGCTTTATTGGTGGCCTGTTAGCTTGTGTGCTGATCCTAGAGTCTGTCTTGTTACCACTGTAACACTTACAAGCATATATTGCCTTCCTCCCTTCTTTACCTCACCAGCTGCATGTCTCTGCTTGTGTGAGGACAAGCAAGAGTCCCTGAAGACAGCCAGATGTCTAACACAAAAGAGCAGAAAAATAGTTGGTGCCTTGCTCCCAGAAGGAATTAGCTGAGTTTCTGGACTAGATGACAAGCCCTAATGAAGGGGAACACATGGCAGAAGGTGCAAATAGGAAAATGTTTCTGTTCTCTGTAGTTGCTGGTGGTTTAGCATTAAAATTAATCTACTGTGTGCTGATATGGAAGAAGTTTGTGAGCTCTCATATGCTCTCTGGGGACACTAAGCAA